GTTTGTACACCTTTCTATAATGCAATCTCAGTCAAATTTCTTTCAAAGTTGTAACACTCTGTACAAATCCCTCTTGGGGATCGACCCCACTTAGAACGTGTCCACCACTTTTCTTTACACACTTTACAAATGTAACATACAAAAGGATAACATTCACAATCTGGTACTGTACACAAGATTTGAATGTGAGAGTTCATCAGATCCCGTCTCTATGTTGATGATAGAGAGCGAGAAGTATCTGCTGAATTTTCTGGATCAGCTGAAGGTAAACCACTGGGTTCAGCAGGTTTAGTCCATCGGCTCGGCACCCAGACAGGCCCTGTGGGGGTAGACACACAAAGATAACCACGTCCCCAATACAGTACCTTGCTGGGACCTCCCCACAGTCCTGTTTTTGGATCTTTATAGCGAACCCATATTGGACTTTGGGTTTTCTCTGCTTCAGGTGCACTATGATGTATTGCTGCAGGCAAATCATTGTTTCCAAAAGCACACAGAAAATTTAAAACAAATAAACAACGCAATAATCGTTCTTGTGGATCTTTGATCTCCCTAAGTTTGTTCAGATATTGTTTTAAGGTACCATTTGCTTGTTCTACTATTGCCTGACCTGTGGGGGAATGAGGAATCCCTGTTATGTGTTTGATTCCCCATGACTGCCTCACCTGCTTAATTCTACTACTACAATAAGCAGGCCCATTGTCTGTTTTAATAGAACGTGGAACTCCCATGACTGCAAAACAACTTACTAATTGTCTGTTTTAATAGAACGTGGAACTCCCATGACTGCAAAACAACTTACTAAATGTTGCTCAACATTCTGTGCTTTTTCACCAGATTGAGCTGTGGCACAAATGTAATGACTATAAGTATTGATAGTGACATGTACATATTTAACTCTTCCAAACTCTGCAACGAGTAATATCCATTTGCCACAACTCATTAGCCTGTAATCCTCTAGGGTTTACCCCAAGACCCAATCCACTGCCTTGATTATGAAAACTACAAATGGGACATGCTTTGACAATAGCCCGAGCCTCCTCTAAAGGTATCTGAAACTCCCGATGGAGACCTTTTGCATTTTGATGAAACATGGCATGAGCTTCTCTAGCTAATGTCTGTGGTGGGACAGGACTATTTTGTGTCAATGAAACCAATTGGTCTACCCTAGCATTTCCTTCTTATAAACCCACATCCCATTTGTGGCTACTAATATGGATAATAGCAAAGGCAGCAGTTCTCAACTTTACTGCTCTTTGAAGCTGCAAAAACAGTTCATATAAACGAGGGTTTTTTACTTCCTTAATGTCTGCATTTTCAATACGTTCACTTAGTCCTGCAACATATAAAGAATCAGTTACCACATTAACAGGACCTTTAAACTGCACCAAAACCCAAACAACAGCGACTAACTCCAGATTTTGTAGTGTATCCTCCTTTTGAGCTGGAATAATATGATGATTCCATTGTCCTTCTGAATCTTGCCATGTAGCAGCAGCTGTGCGAGATTTCTTTCCAGCATCAGTGAACACAGTTGATGCCCCTGGTAATGACACAAATGATCGTTTGGGCTTCTCAATCCAATTCTGCTGGCCTATCCATCGTAATGGTATTTGAGGCACTTCCTCAGTACTGATCACACTGCTATTTTCAAGCAATGCTTCTTGCAATGTGGAGCTGTGAATTAAATACCAATCTAAAGTGTCCTTTTTTATTGGTATCTGAATTACAGCTGGATCTGCTCCCATAATTTGTCGCAATCGCTTCCGCCCTTGTTTTATCAAATTTGTTAAAATTTCAACTTTTTGAATCTAAGTATGTCTCTGATGTAGTGGTGGCAACAACCACTCTAATACCCATATCTCCCCTGTTTTCTTTTGTTGCTGCATTAGGGCAGCGATGAGATGTTGAGGTCCAAACCATACAGTAAGGTTAATGTCCAAGTCTGGATCTTGCCTATAAACAACACCTGTCTGGATACAGTCCATTATTTTATTGAGAGCTTCTTGTTGTTCACTAGTGACCTGTATAGGTGCTGTAGGATTGGTACCTTTTAACAAAGGTCGTAAAGATTGTAAAAGTTCATTAGGAATACCCACAACAGGTTTAAGCCATTGCAAATCTCCTAGCAATCGCTGAGCATCATGAACAGTATGAATGGACATGTTTAATGACAGTTTCTGAGGGGCAACATACTGCTCAGTTAACATCCACCCGAGATATTTCCATGGGGATGACAGCTGTATTTTCTCAGGTGCAACAATCAGTCCATTCTGAAGTAGCTGTGTTTGAATGTCCTTAACTTGTTTATCTGCAAAAGGTTGTGACTGAGCAAAAATAATATTGTCCATATAATGATAAATAATGGTTGTAGGCTACCGAACAGGTAGTGGCTGCAAAGCATTATCAACATAAAGCTGTGTCATGGTTTTAAACTAATAACTAGGAAAATTACTTATTGCTGTGAGATATGGATTAGAACAAGAGCAAAACAGGCATACAACTTAAAAGGGAAAAAAAGAGAGTTTATTGACAAACTACAATAATAAGAACACCAGAATAAACTTCCAGAAAAACCTTTTCATCCCCTATCTACCCACTATTCCCTTGTCCACATGACAACAGAGACAAAAACTTTGGAACTTTGATGGTTAAAACAGTCCCAATTCTTGCTACAGTCTTTTCACCAGTCTTTGTAGAGAAACAGAAGTTTCTTCCTGTTAATTTATGGAGATTCTCACAAGAAAACTATTTTTGTTATAGTTTTCCATTGCCCTAATATTAGCTGCCCAGAGCTGCTATTATTAGAGTTCACTCCTCCCATTTTCACATCACTCTGAAGTGTGTATGGGCCATGAGTCTAGAGATAGCATTTTTAAGGATAAGTTATTCAAAGGCAAAAAAAGTCTTCTTCTTCTGTTTCTGTGAGCTTCACCAGAAAACAGTTTTCTCATTGCATCTCAAGGCTTCAAATCTCCCAGCACTTCACTATACCATAATTACTCTACTTTTTACTCAAATTTACACTTTGAACACTTTATTCCTCTCTAGATACTGTATCATGAATTAAAGGAGTTCTTTTCAGGACTTCATTGTCCATCTCCATAGTTTTAACAGGGAGATATTTCAGCTTAATTAAAGCATCTTCTTAATTCTCTACCTTTCCTGAAGCTTCTTTTCTTTCCTGTCACTGGTAGTTTATAAAGTCTCTTTTCATGTTGATCACTCTCTCACTCTCTCTCTCTGGATAAAAAGATTAATCCGCAAGTCTCATCTGGGTAATGAAAGGGTTAAAATCTTGCCCAGGCTTTTGTAGATGGTTCGGTGATCTCTGCCGAACGGGAGCTGGAGCCGTCTGCGATAGAAGGTCTTCATAGCTGCTCTGGAGAGTGTGGCTGTCTCTGCTTGCTGCAGGTCCTGAGCCTCTCTCCTTCTTCACTCGGCAGTCTCTAGTGAATTAGTTACAGCAAAACCTGCAGCCGAGCCAGAGATCGGGCTCGGGCCCGGGCCGGGCCCGAGGAAAACTTTCCGCAGGCCCCCCCATCTCCCGGCCGGGAGACGGGGCAGGCCCGGCCCCACCTGGCCCCATGGCCTGGGCAGGGAATGGGAGGCCTGGAGCTCTGCCACCCTTCACAGCCAGGAAACAAAGAGAACTCAGAGAGCTCTGCTTTTACACTTTAAGGTAGGGTTCACAAGTTGATCCCACTTTTCAATGGCCTAAACTGCTGTCAATTCTCAGCAATAACCAATAATTGGTCAGGAGAAAAGACTCCAGGCAGTTCCCAGCAACTCCAACTCCCTTAAAGGTAAAGTAACTCCATGACAAGCTGGCACAAGGTAGGAGAATTACGCATACCCTGTGGTAAAACTGTCCATTCAAATCTCTTGTCTGGTTCTGCTCGATTTAATGAAGGCAAGGTAAAAGCAAATCTGCAAGCATCCTGTTCATGCAGTGAGATGGTGAAAAAACAGTCCTTTAAATCAATTATTAACAAGGGCCAATCTTTTGGTAACATTGCAGGATTGGGCAAATCAGGTTGTAGTGCTCCCATTGGCTCAATTTGTTCATTTACTGCACGTAAGTCATGCAGCAATCGATATTTCCCTTTTTATAACAAAAATGGGAGTATTCCAAGGACTTGTTGACAACTTTAAATGTCCTTGTTGATATTGTTCCAGCACTAATTGATTAGCTTGTTGCAGACTTTCCCTTTTTAAAGCCATTGTTCAACCCATACTGGTTCCTGAATTATCCATTTAAGTGGGAGTGGGAAAGTCCAAACAATGACCTCTCTTCTAAAGGGTGCTCATTGGTCAAAATAACACCAAGTTGTGACAAAATATCTCGTCCAATTAGACATTGAACCTTGTCTGGTAATGGAACAATTGACAAAACAGAACTGATAACCTTCCCATCTAATTGAACCTGGATTTGTGGAGACTTTTTCACCAAAGTTAAACCTCCCACCCCTGTAACAGTCACCATACTAGGCAACAAAGGCCATTCCTGAGGCCAATACCGTGGATCAACAATACTTGAGTCCGCCCCAGTATCCAATAGTCCTTCTAATTGGTGGGATTCTCCGTTGTAATTGAGAACAACTGTTCGCTTGGGTCGAGTGTTTAAGTCCAGGGTAAGCAATGTAAGTCCTCCTATGGAACCAAATCCACACGTACTCCGTAATTGATTTTTCAACGGTGTCAACTGATGGGTATATAGCAGTAGTGGCACGAATTGTGCAATTCGCTGTCCTTTATCAATTCTGACTGGTGGTGCCAGTGTATATGCCATGATATATATTTCACCAGAATAGTCTATTGAAGCAGGGTCTGGCGTTTGGAAGATATCGGGATGTAACGGAAAGTTAGTCACCCCCCTCCTCTACAGTGTATGGTAATGACTCCTGCAATTAGCCAATAGTACCTAGCTGTGATGAAAGCAGATGGGAGTAACACAGTGACCCTAGGTTATAAAATGTCAAATTCTCCAGCAATAAACGCCATTTTTGCCATCCATCACATTGGTGTCTGTGGGTAATGGACTGAGTGGCCAAGGGAGGCCACCGTGCTGTTCCTTGAACCAGGGTGTTTGCCTTGCTTAAAAGGCAACAATAGTCCACATCAATTACTCCAGGTAAAATAAACAGTCCCATTAGACTAGCAGATGAACGCCCCAACACTATTGCACCCATAGCTTTTCCATTTATTATCACTGGTCCAATAATTCCCGTGGGAATCTTGTAAGGGTGGGATGTCAATAAATCCACAGTCACTGAGGCTGCCAGGTCCAGGCCGAGGCTCCCTGCTGTGGCAGGCTGGAGGGAAGTTGCACTGATGTTCCAGCAGCTGCTATTTTTGTCCTGACGTGGTAGCTTCTCACACTGGCTTTCCCATTTCCCGATCTCCAGCGGCAAACACTATCAGTGTGGGTATTAGACCGGCAATGATTACACCAAACAGATGATACAGTACATTCCTTTTGAATATGTCCAAGGTTGCCACCGCAAAAACATTTGAGTTGGGAGGCTGGAATCCTGCCATTGTTGGTTGTAGCCACTTGTAGGGGTGCAAGAGCTGCTAAAACCTGACTTAGAGTATATGCAGCCTGCTTCTCTAACCCTTGCCCTAGTTCTTTAATTGCCTGGGCTAACATTGTCTGTGACCCCACTGGTATATTAGACATCCTCTCTAATGCCTCTTCAATAGTCCAGTTAGCATTTAGGGAATTTAAAACTGACCTAGTTGCTGGATTACAATTTTGTAATGCACATTGTTTTAATAATGCTCTCTCGCCCCTTGCTTAATACCCATATAAGATGGAATACCTCCTGGCTCCTTAATCCGATCAAATGCAGCTCGCACTAACCACATTCCTTCTCTCAACTTGTCTGGTCCCAAAATAGCTTGTGCTTCCACCTGACTATATGCTCCTAAGCCGGTAAGTTCTTCCAAAGTTAACCCATGCAATGGATCACCTGCCTGTCTTTGCACATTTACACTTTCTTGACAATAAGCTTGCCAGTGTGCATTAAACGACAACTGCTGATGTTGACTAAGAATCAATTTCATAATACTCCTACAATCTGCAGGCAACAAAATCTGTGTACCCCACAAATAATCAGTCATTTGTCTAACCAGTTCACTGGTCACTCCAAACTGACTGACTGTAGATTGCAACTGTGATAACCATTTCTAATCTAAAGCTGTAATTTGAGCTTGCATTCCTCTCCCTTGAATCTGTGCAAAGGTTATGGGACATGGTACTTCCAATACAGAGTCTGCTATTTCCTCATCTCCCTCTTGCAAAACATTCTGTGCCAACGTAGCTCATGTCTCCCTTCTTTCCTGTGCAACAGCCTCACCTAAATTACATCCTACCCCAGGGACAGACTTATTTCCCATAGGGGAGGGTGGTAACGGTGCCGAAGACTCTGTTCCAGAATCAAGGTTAATAGGTGAAGGTATTGGAGATGGCACAAAAGGATTAGTAGCTGCAGCAAGGGTCAGTGGCTGCGTGGGGGGAGTCAAAATTACTGTATTCCTGGCGGGTGGCAATGGACACTCATTAATTCCATCTAATAATCTATTTTTTGACATAGCTGCAGATGCCTTTGTGGCAGCTGCCTGTTCAGCCTTATACTGCAAAAGAACATTATGAACTGTCCGCCACAGTTTTCCCAATTTTTTAGCAGTTTTATCATCATTTAAAACAGCTTCCCACAATTTATCTCCGTATTTTCGCCACTCACTTAATTCATGGACCATATGGGGATTCTGAAATCCATATGAAAACAACCCTGAGCATACCCATAAGCAAGAAGTCCAGGAAGCTCCTTGCGCAAATCAAAGTTTTTAACCTGTTGCTTTTCTAAAAAGCAGGTAAATAAATCATATGCTGCTTGCCTTTCCATCTTACCGTCAGTGCGCGCTATTGCAGCCCCTACAAGGTTTCAGCAGCATGTTATGGCAGAACTCTTCTATAAGGTCGCCTGGGCATGGCAATGTTGCTTTTCGACCAGGACCCTCCTTCAAGGTTGCCTGGAACGCGGCACAGCTGTTGTGTTTCGCTGTCCTTGCTGCAGAGGACCCGTCCCCTGACACCAACTCCCTTGGCTAACTTCTTTTTAAGGTCCCAAAGGTCCCAAATGTTCCAAAGGTCCCAAAGGTCCCTGCTGTTCGGGCACCATTTGATGAGTTCTGCGGGAGAAAAGCAGCACTCAATATGAATTATCAGCAAGTCTCATTTATTGGTAACTCTAAAACCACTTATATAGCATCAATAATTAGGCTCATACATAGTGCAAAAGCAAGCTCATTATTGGATATTTCATTTAAGGTCGACTCCACCTAGTTCCACATTCCTGTGATCGCTCATCTATGCTGAATTCACATTCTTCTGATCACAGTGTCCTGTTCTCAGTTAACAGTTATCACTAAGGTCCTCCTGACTTTGCAACATCTCACACTAACTGTACTCTATTGTCTAATTCTTTCCCAGCTAACTGCTGCATGGGAACATGACCTTTGCTAGCTAGACATTCCTCTATATGGCATCATCTGGCGTTTGTAACAACGCAGTTTCAGCAGCCTTTTTGATATCTTCAAGGATGATTTCTGTGCTTGGTCTTTTGGTTTCTCCCAGTTACTCTCTCCACTCATGTGGTTCATGGTTAGCCTTGCTTTTGCTTCATCCCCTTTGTATGTTTCCAACTGCGCCCTAAGCAGTTTTTTGCACTTCCTCTCCCACAACAGATATTCCACAGAGAAGAGAAGGCAGGACATTATGTTTTTAATATCATGTGGCACCATGGTTTGAGCTGAGAGCGTAGCCTGCAGGAGATTTTTAAAATAGGGGGATCCACATATATAGTCTTTGGCAGCCTTGCAAAGCTCTCTGAGTTGTGAATATTGAATGGGCTCCCATTTGGGGTTCCTTCCTCTTTCATAAATGACCAGAGCCGCGAACACCATGATACTGTCCACCAGGTCCCAGTCGTTCTCTTTTGTGGCTTGTCTCATTATCGCTGCCCACCTATCCTCGGGTTCTGAATTGGTGTCCAAGGAGTCATTACTCTCTTCTTCCGAAGAGGGAGTAGAGTGAGTGGTTTGGGCATGATGCTTGTGATGAGCTGGGGCTGTTTGTTTTCATTTGGTACTAAAGGCCAAGATGGTCTCCTTCCGGTTTCCCAAGGCCCCACTTCCGGTTCTGGTGGTGTGGGAAGTGGAAGTGGGCAGGTCACCCGCGGAGGAGTGACTAACTGAAGGGGTGGAGTAACCAAAGGAAGGGGAGGGATCTGGGGCCAGAGGGGGAAGTGCAACATAGGGGGAGGAGCCGGACGCAGTAACTCCCATCGACGCGAGAGGGGTGAATCTCAAAACAGGGGGAGGGTCCCAAAATGGATTGTGGAGAGAAGGTAACAAACTGAAGGCAGGTGCCATGTGGCTACCGCCATTTTGGGGATTAGGGTTGTGGGTAGAGGGACTCTGAGAGGAGGAAGGCAAAATGGTGGAGTCGTCATGGCAATGGGTGCCATCTTGCAAACTCACAACTGGGGAAGACTGAACTGGGAATACAGGTATAGGGGAAATGTGAAGGGAAAAATCCAGAGTGGCATGGCCAGTGTCACTCTGGTAACGGTTCAGAGGAGATCGGGAGGTGGCAGGGAGACGGTGGCAACCCTGTGCCATTAGGCAGGTTCTACCTTCTGATCTCTTCTGTGACAGTTGAGGGGGATTAGGAGCAGAGGGAAAGGAACAAGGGGAAGAGGGTTCCAACTGGGGTCCCGAACATTTTCCCAAACCCTCAACAGCTCAAACAATGCTTTGAAACAAAGGAAAAAGCTTTGAAGCTGTAACATTCCCTTTAACTGTTAAACCATATAACTTTTTCCCCACAGCATCCCAAAAAGGGTCTGTCAAAACCAAATCAGGTGTAACCGACAAAAAATGTTTAAACAGAAAGTGAACCAACTGTTTAAGCTCCCCTCTTGAAAACTTAAACTTATTCCTAATTAGGGTATTTTTAACTTGGACATAAACCTCTCCCTGTGGCTGTGACAGCTTAGCTCCCATCTTGTCACAGTCACAAGCTCCTCCCAACCCCTGAGGGAAAAAATGTAACAGAAAAGTAAAACCCCAGGAGACGCAATGTCTCCACTCACCACTGCCTCCAGGGGGTAAAAGAAACTTCAGAGGTGGTCCACTGACTTTCAGCCGATCCTCTGCACCTAGAGGGTTGCTGGCTGCCTCTTCAGATTACTCCACTGTAACGTGGAGCTCTCTCCAGGGAGGTGATGCACTGAAAGCAACTTGATGTCCAGTACTAAAAGTACTGGAGATGCTTCCAGGGATGACCATCAAGGGGTCCCTGTTTGGGCACCACTTGTTGCAGCGTGGGGTCGATGGTAGGGTGCTGCAACCTTCCCAGAAGTGTGTCTGGGAAAGCTGCTCTGGTCAGCACCACATACCCACGCAGACACTCATGCAGCTGGACAGATATTGTTGGAGTCAGCTGCAAGGAGTAGAGAGGGGCCTTTGTATGGGTTCCACGAGGAGAATTTATTCTCCCTAGCTCGTGAAGGGTTCAGGAACAAAGGGCCCAGAGCAGGGCTGTGCAATATCGTTTGTATTAGGAGTGGAGAGCAACTGGGACCAATGAACTTAGGGCCGGAGGTCTGTACAGAGGAGGGTCCAGGGTGCCAGAGCTAACCAGTCTGAGGTAGGGATTAGAGAACTTGGGTTAATAGGGGACTAAGGATGAGGGAAGGTTCTAGGGATAAGGGAGGGTCTGAGGAAAGGATGCAGGGAAGGAACCGCCCAGGGGGAAGGAAAAGGGACTGGCCAACAGGCCAGGGGGAAGGGTAGAACTGGGGTATGGGCACCATCAACAGGGATGGACCATAGGGGACGCCTTAACCCTTAAATTATAGTGGCAACTCTCCAAGGAGATTTACCACTCTCTGGGGCAGGGGTATCACAAATCCCCACAGATGTGATGTCAGAAAGAGGAAAAAACTGAGTCTGTCACTGCTGTCGTTTCACAGAAAGGCGGAAATTGGCCTGTCACTGGTGTGATATCACAGAGATGATGGAATTGTGGCTGTTACTTCTGGGATGTCACAGAGTCAGTAATAGCGGGCCGGTTACTGCTGTAGTGTTACAGATAGGTGTAAATTGGGGTTGTTCCATCTGTGGTGTCACAGAATGGGTGAAATTTGGTCTGTCACTGCTGTGATGTCAAAAAGGGAGGAAACTGGGTCTGTCACTGCTGTGGTGTCACAGGCAGGCGTAAAATGGGGTTCCCACTGCTGTGATGTCACAGAGAGTGGAAAACTGAGGCTGTCACAGCTGTGGAGTCTCCGAGAAAGTAATACAGCTGCTCTGACATGTCTGTTGCCACAAAGGGGATGAAATTGAAGTTGTCATGGCTGTGGTATCACAGAGAGGTTTAAATTGGTTTTGTCTCTGATATGATGTCACAGAGTTGGGAATAATGGGTCTGTCAGCGCTGTGGTGTCACAGAGAAGCGTAAATTGGGCTTATCACTGCTGTGGCTTCCCAGAGAGTGGATTATTGGGTATGTCACTACTGTGGTGTCACATAGAAGCGTAAATTAAGTTGTCACAGCTGTGGAGTCACAGAGAAGCATAAAATGACTCTGTTACTGATGTGATGCCAGAGAGAGGGGATGAAATTGAGGCTGTCACTGCTGGGATGTCACAGAGAGGGGAAAACAGGCTTTCATAGCTGTGGAGTCTCTGAAAAAGTAACACAGCTGCTCTGACATGTATGTTGCCACAAAGGGGAGGAAATTGAAGTTGTCATGGTTGTGGTATCACAGAGAGGTTTAAATTGGTTCTGTCTCTGATGTGATGTCACAGAGAGGGGAATAATGGGTCTGTCAGCGCTGTGGTGTCACAGAAAGGATGAAATTTGGTCTGTCACTGTTGTGATATCAAAAAGGGAGGAAACTGAGTCTGTCACTGCTGTTGTGTCACAGGCAGGCGTAAAATGGGGTTCCCACTGCTATGAGGGCACAGAGAGTGGAAAACTGAGGCTGTCACAGCTGTAGAGATTCAGAGGAAGTAACACAGCTGCTCTGACATGTCTGTTGCCACAAAGGGGATGAAATTGAAGTTGTCAGGCTGTGGTATCACAGAGAGGTTTAAATTGGTTCTGTCTCTGATGTGATGTCACAGAGTTGGGAATAATGGGTCTGTCAGTGCTGTGGTGTCACCGAGAGGAGTACAGTTGGCTTATCACTGCTGTGGCTTCCCAGAGAGTGGATTATTGGGTATGTCACTACTGTGGTGTCACATAGAAGCGTAATTAAGTTGTCACAGCTGTGGAGTCACAGAGAAGCGTAAAATGACTCTGTTACTGATGTGATGCCAGAGAGAGGGGATGAAATTGAGGCTGTCAGTGCTGGGATGTCACAGAGTTTGTAATACTGGGCCAGTCTCTGCTGTGGTGTTACAGATAGGTGTAAATTTGGGTTGTTCCATCTGTGGTGTCACAGAAGGGATGAAATTTGGTCTGTCACTGCTGTGGGATTTGTGATGTGGTTCTTTTTGTTGGTCTTAGAGTACTAAAGATTATCAGTGAACCAAGGACCAAGGACCAAGGAACCAAGAACAGCAAAACACACTTTATTGAGTGCTCATCAGCATTAATATCCAATAGAGAGAAAAGAGGAGAAAGCAAAGCATAAAGAAAAGAGAGTCAGGGGATTATAGCTACCAACGTCGATGTCCACTCAGCCGTCCAGCGATGCAGAGTCTTCTGTCCGTTGGGGAGATCTCAAAGGAAGGTAAGTTTGGGGTATTATTTTATAGTCTTATGCAAAGCGAGGGGGACAGGGCCAAAAACAGATGAGACTGATGATCATTGTGAGGAAGTCCATTGCACAGGGAGCAGGTGTAGGGTACAGAGCGATCCATGTCTTGCAAGTCTTTGCTCACCAGCAGGAACGAGGGCAATGTGTCGTGGAAAACCCATTGCACAGGGTACCACGCACAAGCCTCTGCTCACCAGCAGGAACGAAAGCAGTGTACCATGCAACCACCTGCAAAAAATCACTTAGCAAACTTCCATCTCAGCTAGGCCCAAAGCCCCAAACCAAGTCCCTTGTGATATTCAGGGTCTCAGTCTCTGTCCTTGAGACGGTTGTGAAACAGATGAGGGAATCTTCGGACCGTCTCTTACACCACCCCGTGGTTCACAATCGTCGAGGTCTTTCTGCACAATGTTGTAGTGCTGCTGCAAAATTCTTCTTTGAAGTCTTCATCACTTGTTACAGTTGGTACTATATCCCGGAAAAAACAGAGACAGGTATGTTGCCTTGGATGAGGCGTAGCGACCCGGTTTGTGAGTGACACGACGGCTAAACTTACAGGCCTGTCGGGCTAATCACACGCAAACACCAATGTGGTGGACGGTGAAGAGCGTTTATTTCTGGTGTGCAAGGTTTTATGTGACCGAGTTATGACTACGTCATCCCCGTGATATTATGGGTTATAGAACTTTGGAGAAAGAGAGGCCCTATCTTCCTGTACAACATGAGATCTTCCGATCGGCTTTCCCTATCTAACAACATCATCTCCCCCCCTCTTCATGAACAGAACTTTATAACTGAACGACTTATGTAATTAACAACAAACCATGAACTGGTTAGTAATGAACATGAAACGAAACTGTGGTGTGTTAGTACTCTGAACAGACTAGTAAGCAAACTTAGGTTAACTGTCTTTTACACTGAACTATGCTCTCCCAACTGAGCTATTTCGGCTTTTAAGCTGGCATGTTTTCTCCTCAAAATAAATGCTGTGTTAATAATTGTAAAAACACTAAAATGTGGTTAAAAGTAAACAAACAAATGAGTTTCCAACCGAAACTTAACACAGTTGTTGGCATTCAACCAACATAATATTAACTGTGTCCAGGTGGCTTTTGATGAGAGCCATCAGTTTCTTTAGTCCACAAGGTCCGAAAATCAGTGCTAAGACTAGCATTGATTGCTGGGCTTCTCTCTCTGCCTTCTGTTGGGACAGTCTGTCTTGTAGCTCAGCCACGATGTCTTGCACAACTCTAACGCGATTCGCGCAGAAGCAGCACTCTTCCTTCAGGGCGGCACAAAGATGTTTCCATCGCGTGAACCGAAGGCTGAGATTTGCAAAACAACTTCGGAGAGAGAGGAGACTGACCCCTCTAGAAGGGACATGGATCTCTTAATAAAGTCAGCGGAGGAGTTAAAGCTTTGGGTGCAAATACAAGGCTTAGTTTACTGCGGTTGCAAACTCATGCTGTGGGCTCGTCATTTGACCGCCTGCTCTGACCGGTGTCTGGGTCAGTGCCGGAAGTTGACTGACTCGAGGTTTTCAGGCTGCAGTGCCTTTTTGTTGGGCTCCACCCTCTCCCTTTCCCAGGGATGGGTTTTTCCCCTCCCTTTCTCTGCCTTCCTTCCAGTGAGTTCTTTTCCTTACAGGGAGATATTCTAGGGCACGCTCTCTGATTAGACGGTGGGCTCTCCTCCTCTTTACCATCGGCGCTATCCTCCCGCCTCTCCTTAGGCTCCCGATCGCGTATGTCTGTGCGCGTTAGGCACCCTTCACTCTGCCCCTTGCTCCTCTCCTCGGCGCCATTTCGCGGAGCGTATGGTGGAGGCCTTTCTCCGACATCTCCAGGGCCCGTGGTGTTGGGCGTGCCCCGCGGCTCAGTGGCATTGGTACCCCCCGGTGGCAGATTATGTTCCGCGGCCAAACCCTCATTAGGGCCGGGCATACGGGATGGTGACTCGGGTCGCCCGTCATCATTAGATGGCCAGTTAGAATCGGTGGGGCAGTCAATAAACGTGGTCTGAGTAGCAGCTCCAACCCCCACCCGTGGTGCAACCTTTAAAGAGCTTTGAGCTACCTTCCAAGTTTCCTGCTCTTGGAGCACTTTTTGCAGTGCTTGCATAACTCTCGCCCAGCTTTTAAGACACTTGCTTGACTTTAAGCACAACACGTCATCCATGAGTGCCTTAGTACACCTAACCCAGCAATCTGGGTGTAATATATCTACGGGATCATCAATAGCACATAATTCTAGTAATCTGACAACCACACATTCAAAATCCCTTGATTTGCAGTCTATACCCCACTGCTTATGCAGATGCGAAACTACCTTGCCAAGCGACTGCATCACGGTGGTACGGGAGCATCCTCCCCGCTGGAGTCAGTCCTGCCGCTCCAGCCATCCCTCAGCGTCTG